AAACCCCCACGGTGGTCCTTCACTGACGCGTTGAGGGGGCCCCGGGATCTCTGTAAGAACGCAACCAAGGCCCCCAGCGCCTTACTGAGGTCTTCCCGGGGGAGGTCGGAAGGACCTCCCCCTACTCGCTGGAGTAATAAAATCGAATCTTTACGGCGATGCCCGGACCACCGAGGCACCGCCGTCCCCCCCGGGGCAGTGTGCAAGGCGCCCTGGGCCCCCACCCAGGACGCCACTGCGCCTGAATCTTGACCCCCTGCGCAGTCTTAAACCGTAAAAGATAGACATGAGCAGCAAATTTTTACAAAGAAAGTAATCAAAGAAAAAGTAGACGAAGCACCGACAATGATGACGTAATTAGTTTTTACATATTCCTTAAAAAGTGTTCCTTAATAAGAGTTTTATTGTACTATCATTATAAGAGTACAGATATGACCCACGGCGACGCCCCCGCTCCCTAGCCCGCGAGCCCGTCGCTTCTCGGGCCCGCTCTGCGGCCTCCTTCTGCAACATAACTTTCTCGCAGAAGGAGGCCACAGCCCTCCAGTTCCTCTCGCTCGCCAGCAGTGCCCCAACTACTGCCGGCAGCGAGAGATCGTACCCTATCTGTGGGTACAGGACACGGCGCAGCGCTGAAAAGGCGGGGCAAACCTCCAGCGTGTGCTGCGCCGTGTCCTCAGCCTCTCCACAATGGTGGCAGACCGCCGTCGCCTCCTTTCCTATTCGACACAGGTACTCCCCGAAGCATCCATGCCCGGAGAGCACCTGCGTCATGCGGTAGGTGAGGTACCCGTACCGCCGCTCCCGCCACTCCTCAAATTGTGGTAGGAGGGCCCCGACAACTGGCTTGCCAGCGCACGAACGGAGCTCCGTGCGCCAGCGGAACACAGCCAGTCGTCGGGCCTGGCGCCTTATGCCCTCGACCGTCTTGGGCTCCGGCGGGACACCGTCGAGTCGCCGCAGGGCACGGACGCGCGTATAAACAAGCGCGTCCGCCCCTGCCAAAAACTCGAACGGGATAAGTCCCGCCAGAGACATCGCCACCGCGTAGGAGATGGTGCGGTATCCCCTAATGACCCTGATGGCCAGCCGACGCTGTAGCCGGTGCAGCAGCTGAAGGCTGCGCCGGCCGGTCATCAGAGCGGGTGCCCACACTGGTGCTCCGTAGAGCACCATGGACCGCACCACCCCCACGTAGAGGCGGCGAACCCTCTCCTCAGGTCCCCCGAGATTGGGCATGATGCGACCCAACGCGGCCGCTGCCCGTTCCACTCGGGGGACCAGACGGTCGAAATGAATCACGAAACGCCAGTGGCTGTCGAGGACGAGCCCGAGGTATCTCATCTCGGACCCGACCTCGACCCAGGCCTCACCTACACGGACCCACGAGGGGGGCGGACTCCGCGACCGAGGCAAGTTGTGAAAGAACATTGCCTCGGTCTTGCGGGGGTCTATCCGCAGCCCCAGCTCGTGGATCCGTCCGACGACGGCGGCGACTGCCACCTCGACAAGACGGATGGTCCTCTCAAACGTCTCCCCGACGGCAAGAATGAAAGTGTCATCTGCATAACAGATGACATACGTGCCGTCGGGGAGGGCGACCCGCAGGACTGGGTCGTACCCCATATTCCACAAGTCGGGACCTAAAGCGGATCCCTGGGGTACGCCGCACGTCACCTCCCTTCGAACATGGCCGTCCCGGCCCATGTACTCGATATACCTGTCGCTCAGGTAGGACCCGATCACCGCCCTAAGATAGGGAGGCACCTGGTGATAAACCAGGGCCTCTCTGATGGCGGCCCAGGGAAGGGTGTTGAACGCGTTGACAATATCGAGCGATACCGCAACGCACACCCCACCCCGGGATAGGGCCGCCTCCGTGAGGGACTTGACGCGTGAGATCGCGTCGATCGTCGAACGTCCCTCACGGAAGCTGAACTGGCAATCCGCCAGATCGGGTCCTACCGAGGACAGGTGCCTGTGGAGGCGGGCAGCTATAATACGCTCCAAAAGCTTGCCCGCCTCATCCAGCAGGCATATGGGCCGGTACGCGGAGGGAGAATCCGCGGGTCTACCTTCCTTCTTTATCAGGACCATCCGTCCCGTCTTCCACTCGTCTGGAAAAACTCCAGCACGCAGGCAGTCTGTGAAGACTGCCTTCATATCATCCCAAAGGACGCCCGAGGCCAAAACCCAGGCTTTGCCGGGGACACCGTCCGGGCCGGGGGCAGTATCACGTTCCCCCAGCCGTTTCAGCGCCGCAGCGAGCTCCTCATCCTTGACCCCCAGATCGTCGGACCAGTCTATAACGTCCGACGTCTCCGCCGCGTGACCCTCCATGACCCCTGAAAGGGGGAAGAGGGTATCAACGACGCGGCGGAGGAACTGGGGGTCGAGAGTCTCCGTCATGGGGGGCGCCCAAGGTCGTAATCGACCCATCACCATCTTATACGGGCGCCCCCACGGATCTTCCTCCAGACTCCGGAGGAGCTCCTGCCATGCCTGGGCCTTGGCCTTCTTGATGGCGAGCTGCAGGGCCTTTACCGCCTCCCGGTATAGCCCATACAGCTCTGCTACCCGCGTCGGGCATTCACGTCGCCGTCGACGGGCGCGAGTGTACCGGCGGCGCGCCCGAACACAATCACTGCGAAGATCAGCGATCTCGGGCGACCACCAGTACACCGACTTCCTACCCGGGGAACCCGCACGTGGCATGGCCGCATCGCAGATCATAGTGACTGCGCGGCGAAGCCACTTGGCCCCCTCTTGCCCGTCGGCTGGCCTGACACAATCTGGATGCCAAGCCACGACGTGGGCAGCAGCCACTAGGGCGTCCTTGTCTAAACGTTTGAGTGACCACCGCGGCGATGGCCGCGCTCGCTCCTCCGGGCGACCTCAGGGCACATCCGGGGGTGAGGCGGAGAGGACCATCGTAATATAGCGATGATAGCGTCTTCGCCTCCTCAACCACACGCCACCCCGAGATACGTCGAGCAGCAGCGGGAGACGCGAAGGAAAGATCCACAATGGAGC